GTGAGTATAGACCAAGATCTCTGAGAAATGTTTCTGAAAACCTTGTTGATTCAATGCCATAAAGCTCTGAAGGCAAAAAGGGGGTAAAGCCTTTGACTAGCAAGGTCTACTCTATTTAAAAAAGAAGCCTGTCAGTGTAACTCAGCATCTGTGTTAAAACTGAAAGCTTTCTATATAGTAATGATTTTACTATATAGAAAAAAATATGCTCTTAAGTTATATTTTAATATTCTTTGTTCTTGAACCAAGAAGCTGATAAGCGACTTAAGAAATAACAATTTGTCAAATCAGAGATGTCTTTGTACTTCCTTCAATGTCTCTTTTCACTGATTTGCATGATTTATGAGAGAGGAGTGTTCTTTTCAGCTGCAGCTGTCTTCTTAATGGTTTTGGATCTTTGCTTAATTTTAAGGAAACCTTTGTCCTAAATCAAAGGGTACAAGTGTTATCAGCATAACCTGTAAGACTTTTGCATGTTTCATCATGTCGTTTGGCACGTTGTGAAAGCAAAAAAAAGTTTTACAGGTGAAAAAAATAGGGAAGCGTTTGGGAAAAAAAAAAACCCTGAAGGCAAACTGAATGACTAGATGTCGGGATTTGTTTCCCCTTATAATCCTGACACGGATACAGGTGTCGTTCCAAGGCAGGAGTTCTAACGATCGTCTGGAAGAAAATTTGAGTCACCTGGTTCGAGACACTGTTAAGGCAGACAGAACCAGAATGACAACATAGTTATTCTTATTGTCCATTTTGTTTCTATCAATCAAACCTGCCGCACCTTCAAATCAAACACTGGCCATTCAAGGGGAGACAGACAATTATGTGGTGAACTACCTGCCACGCACCATTCCGCACATTTCAGTTTGTAGAAACAAAGACAACCCACAACTAAAAAAATATTTCAAAAAGTTTCTCATGCATGCAGGCAGGTAGTACTCCTGAAAGCCTGAGAACAAAGAGCTTAAAAATCATTACACAACAATGTCAATGTTGTGAAGGCCCTCTTTATTAAATAATATACACACACTCAATATTACAAAAGAGATAAATGGAGAAAGTTGAGCGGAAAGGATAAAACCTTAACATTACACTAAAGCCCCAGTTATCTCGTTTTTCCACAGCTTCACAGCATCTGAGTGCAAAAAAACAATTAGTGTTGTCATAATCAGTTGCGTGTGTCTTACAAAACAATTAATCTGGGAGTGGTGAGTTCAGATGCCATTTAGAGTTACACAGAAATAGGCAGGGCACATACTTCAAAACACGTCAGCTCAGATTAATTGTGCCAGAGTGAGACAACTCAATCATTTGTAGCCTCCTTATCAAGAGGCTGAGACATAAAACCATTCAGATCAATTAGATACATGAAAACCCTGTAAACGAAAAGACTGAAACAGCTCCCAGAGGCTATCATTAAAGAAGAGCCCTGTGCTGAGCAGAGTAATGTGGGAAAGTGTAAATAACTTTGAAGACTAAATGGGAAGGAATACCTTTAAGAGCAAACCCTTTACTTTTCAACAAACATGACTGCATCAAAAAAAAAAAAAAAACCTAACCAAAGAGCAAAAACAATAATAAAAGGTGTACCCAGCAAACAAGAAATCACAAGATAAGCAAAAAATCAAAGAGGTCAGCAACTGCACTGAGCTGAAAGACAATATCTCCATTTGCCAGAATTGCACAACATTTAAAGATGCACTGTTGAATGCTAACACAAAATGTAAGTTGGCCCAAGCTAAGTGTTATAATCTATCATCCTCATCCTTGCTGTTCCCCACATCGTCTCCTTAAAGAAGATTCAAAACTTAGGCTTTTTTGTTGTTGACAGCAAGCTGCAGTGTTGCTCTGCAATGGTTTGAACTCGTGTTGCTCTGCAGGTTATCTCCTTTCATTTTTTATTTGGAACCTGAACAAGCACTTCACAGGAAAAACACATCAAACAGTAGAAAAACAAAAATTGATTTAATAACAGGAGTTAATTGTCCCCAAAATAAATCCTGTCAGTCACCTGGAACTGTCACACTTCATGCATCTTGCAATGAGAACATGATCTGTGGTTGATATGCTTCAGAAAATCTCACCAGCTTTGACGGAAAACATGTTCCATCAGAGCCAATTTGAGATCTGAGGAATTCTCATAACGTAAATAGAAACTCTTTGGACAGCTGCTAGGGAAAAAAAGAAAAAAAAAAAAGAGAAAAAAAAAACGGTTTGCTCCTTATAGCTTCTGTTTATTTAGGAGTAAATGCTAACTTCTGACGAGGTTGCCGAGGTGGTCTAAAAGCTCCTCGGTGGCAGGGCCCCGGGGGTGGATGAGATCCGTCCGGAGATCCTTAAGGCTCTGGATGTTGTAGGGTTGTGTTGGCTCACGCGACTCTGTAATATCGCATGGACATCAGGGGCAGTTCCCCTGGATTGGCAGGCTGAGGTGGTGGTCCCCCTGTTCAAAAAGGGGGACCGGAGGGTGTGCTCCAATTACAGGGGGGTGACACTCTTAAGCTTCCCTGGTAAGGTCTATTCAGGGGTCCTGGAGAGGAGGGTCCGTCGGGTAGTCGAACCTTGGATTCAGGAAGAGCAGTGTGGTTTTCGTCCTGGTCATGGAACACTGGACCAGCTCTACACCTTCAGCAGGGTCCTGGAGGGGGCATGGGAATTCACCCTACCGGTCTACATGTGTTTTGTGGACTTGGAGAAGGCGTTCGACCGTGTCGAACGCCTTCGACACGGTCTACAAGGCCCCCTACAAGGGGGCCTTGTAGGGGGTTCTCCGGGAGTATGGGGTACCGGGCCCTTTGATACGGGCTGTCAGGTCCCTCTATGACCGGTGTCAGAGTCTGGTCCACATTGCCGGCAGTAAGTCGGGCAGTAAGCCAAAAGGAAAGTCTTAGCGCTGTTAATCACTTTCATGAATGGACTACTCACCCCTCCTCTTGGCTCTCTGGCCGCTACTGCTAGTTCCTCCACAACTAGCAGTAGCAGCCTAATAAGTTGAGTTTTTCAACTCTTAATAAGTTGGAAAACTTAACTTATTAAGAATTTTTCTAAATAAGTTGTTTCTGCCATATTAGTACAATGAGCAGCGCATACCCAAGGTTGATTGACAGAGCTAAGGCTTTCCTCCTGACTCTGATTGGTTGTTTCTGACCGGGAGCAGTGCATTTTCACAGATTATTTGTCTTATTTATACTGTTACGTCATAGAGGTAGTTTAAACACACACACACATACACACACACGTATATATATATATATATATATATATATATATTTTTTTTTTTACATACTGTAGCATTAAATATTGAGATAAGAGCACATACTTGAGTACAGAAGTACTCCTCCACAACAGCTTCATTAACAGCTGGAGCCTAAGGCAAAAGACCACTCAATGAAAAAAATTATCTTAAGTAATTCACTGTAAGATTTTTTTTTTTACATTTACATCAGATCCTTTTAGGTAAATAATCCTTTGCTCCATAGATTCTTCAAGCACTAGTGAAACAAGTGTAAGCCAGAATTGGAAGATTAATTATATCTACTCTCATTGTATCAGATCTGAATGGATGTTGCATTTCAGTCAACAGCTGAGTTAGCCACTTGTTTACACAAAGCAGCTGCATGTCATAATTAACCACCTCATGTCAGTCTGTAGTTGCCCACTGGGAGTGATCTGGCATACATAGGCACACTAAATCTCTTTCTGCATAGACAGAGAAAAGGAAAAAGAAAAAAGAAGACAAACACAAAGATTACGGTGTGTCATCAGATGTTTTATAAGAGCAAAAATACATTTTGTAAATGTTAATGTGCATGCAAATAAGATTTTGAACAGTTTTACAAAGAGAGAACTGTTGTTATCCACCAAAATGGAAAGTCATAAATTAATCTATAAAAGGTTTGTGTCCCAACATGCAGACAAATTAGGAACAAATGCAGGAAATTCAGCTCCATTGTTGGCTCCAGGAAGTGCTCAACTAACAAAGATCAGTCAGTGGTGTGGCAGAAGGGAGGTTCAACAGGACTCCTAGGTAACTTCAAAATAAAAAGCAATCCCTCATACATTGTTTACAACTGACTTTTCAAGGTCCACAATCAGGAAGACTTGGAGAAAGAAACCTGAGAGAAAGCCAGTGCTTAATTTTAGTTTACTTTCTTTTTTCTAACACTCTGTTGGACTCAGTGTGTTTTTTACAAGTCCCAATTTAGGCAAGCTTCAGCTGTCAACAGATGTCACATTTGACTCTAAAATGCCAGTCCAGGCAACAACATATTTAAAAGCATGACATATATTATGACTGTGGTACAAAGCAGATACTTGAATCAGTCAGATGATGGTGCCAAACATACAAAATGTAATGTAAGGGAGGTTGAGCAAGAGAGTGAGGAGGTCTGAATTTTCTGATCTCTTTAAGGTCTACTTATAACCCTTAATTGATGAGCACCAACTTTTGCTTCTAGTCATTGTCTCTCCATACTGACATTGTTTTGACCCACAATTGTATGGCTCAAACCAGTGAACTGGCTATGGAAGCAGCAAAAGGGAAGTTTCTCAGTACTTTTCTTTCTTTTTCTTTTTTTGTAACCCCACCTCAGCTTTATTTTATCTATTAATAAGTTAGTTGTGCGGAAAGTGATGTCTTCTTAATAAATGATTTTAGTTAGACGTTGCGGTAAAACGGCCCGAAAAATTAATCACACTGAGGAATTCCTTCTTTTTAAAGTTGTATTAATCAGAAGTAATTGCAGGGGACGTTCAAAGAGATAAAATATGTCTCACACCTTTTTTTAATGTTTCCTGAACTGTAATGTGGAATGACAGCCGTTACCTGACTGGGAATTAACGTGAATTCCGCCGCGCCACGCCACGCCCAGGTGGTCACACCTGGAATGGTAGCATCTTTCCACCTACCTGTCGGCCGCTCCCACCGGAGGAGGCTTATAAAATCCATCGTCCGCGCTGCCTCAGCACCGGTTCCTCCACACCGCCTCAGAGACGCTCTACAGACCCGTAGAAACACCAGCAGCCATGTCCACCTCGCGCTCAGGATTGTCCTCCTCCATGTCACTCTACTCCATGAGCTCCTCCAAGAGAGTCTCTCGCGGTACCAGCGTGTACGGCGGGGCCGGAGGCAGGAACGTCCGCGTGTCGTACGCTTCCAACGGTCTGGGCTCTGGCTTTGACCTGACGCAGGCGCTCGGCAACAACCTGAGCGTCACCACCAACGAGAAGGCGACGATGCAGAACCTGAACGACCGGCTGGCCTCCTACCTGGAGAAAGTGCGCTCGCTGGAGTCTGCCAACCTTCAGCTGGAGACTCAGATCCGGGAATGGTACAAAACCAAGACCCCCGCCGTCAGGGACTACAGCAAGTACGAGGCAATCATCGAGGACCTGCGCAACAAGGTAAACTTTGAAACTTATAAACCTGACAAATGAAGTCTATAAACCACAGCAGAATGTTGGAAGTTTTATTACACATAAAATAATATTACTACGATTAATAATAATAATAATAATAATAATAATAATAATAATAATAATAAGGAACGTTGATGCCCAAAATTCATATTCGTAGAAAAATATTTAAAAACATTTAGGCATGGCCGGATTTGGAATAGCTCCCACGCATGTTTTTTTTTGTTGTTGTTGTTTTGTAAATGCAAATTACAAAAAAGTCATAAGCACGCATTATCTTCAATGTTTTTAGCCTTAATCCACATTTTTTTAAAAAATACAACAAACTTAGCTTAAGTGTCTTTCATATACACTACATCATTTCATTCCTTCATCCCGATGTTATAGTAACTACGTCATGCATGTCCCTGCATGACGTGGCGGTTTTGTTTTATTGCTATAAAACAAAAGTGTTATAACAATAAAGGAGGCGTGGAGCACAGGCTTAAAGCTTGCTGTCATGTGCAACGATGGAGGTGAAGTAAAAGGTGGGGCTATTGTTGTGGAATAGGTACATATTGTTTCGAAACAAAACCCAGTGAATTAAAAGCTCAGAGTGAGCCAGCAATTTTTTATTACTTTATTTGTGTTTATTATCTATTCTTAATTTTTTAATTTTTCTCCATAAAATAAATAATGAAACCTTTATTAGTCCCTTAAAATATTGGTGGCCCATTGCCTATTATTGGAGTGGTCACAACCCCTTTTGTACCCCCTTTGGTGATGCCCCTACTACATCTAAAAATGTCATAAATAGCCTATGCTCTGGTAGACTGCTATAAAATATTCATTTTTAGTTGTTTTTTTTCTACAATTAGCTTTCTTGAAAATCTTTCTTCTTTAAGTCTAGTCCCCACCAGAATGCACCCTGACTGGGTAACATCCTGCATGATGACACGTAGACGTTTTTCAACAGCATCCCCCAGGTGTGGGATTTTTCCAGGCAAAATCAAGAACAACTTGAATTTATTTACATGTTGGAGCTTGAAGCAACTGTGAAGGAATTTGTTTTTCCCACACTCTTTTGAGAATAAACGAACGTCCAATTTAGGACGCACTCCAGTGAAAATTCAAAGTAAGCTGACGCAATCACTAACACATCTGCATGATGGGGGTTTTTTCCAGATAAGAGTCGCCACGCTATCAAACTGCGAGTTGATGCTGCAGATCGACAACACCAAGCTGGCAACAGAGGACTTCAAAGTGAAGTAAGTGAAAATAATTTATTTTCCATATATTTACTAATGATGTTGAGCATTCACACGGTTGAGTCAGATCAACCGGACATTTTTGCAGCCTCGTACCAGTAAGCAAACTTGGAAAACAGGTGGAACCAGTTTGGTTGCACTTTTTTTTGTTTGTTCACTGATGCTGTTAAGCAGTTACAGCAACACAAACCTCTCTCTTCACAGGTTTGAGAACGAGTTGGCACTGCGCATGTCAGTGGAGACGGACATCTCTGGCCTGCGCAGAGTCTTCGACGACTTGACCATGACTCGGACCGACTTGGAGTTGCAGCTGGAGAGTCTGAAGGAAGAGCTGATCTTTATGAAGAAGAACCATAAAGAGGTGAGATACTGACAACAGATCTGTAATGACCAATGATTCAGCTTAGCCAACAGGCATGGGAAACAAGGACATTCTCACAGTATGTCCTTGACTAAAACACCATGACATTGTTGACATTTAAACAGAATACAACTAAATTAACTTAATATCTTGGGAAATTGGGAAATATGGGAAAATTTAAACCTCAAAAACATCAAGAAGGTATTTTATTGCTAAAATAATGCCACATACAGAGCTTTGATGTTTTTTTTTTGTTTGTTTTTTTTGTCCCATTGATAGACCTTGACCAGACTTTAGAATAAACAACCACTAAATTTAGAAGGAGCTTTCAAGTGCACATTGTGCAGCATATGCATACTGTTTTGCCACTCTGCTTGTTCCAGAGTAACACCAGAACAACAAACCGATTTTAGCAGATTAAATAGTGGCTATCTGCTCTGCTAGCCTGCAGTCTGTTGCTTAACAGACAAGCCGTTGGTTGCTCAAACATTAAAGACATTAGTATTTCATTAGTATTAGTATTCTTTCCACCCCACTAATGTTTTATGTTTCATGATAAAATATTATGTCTTTATTGTAAGTGGGAAAGACGACCATGAGAGTCTTTCAGTCAGCTGACCATCAGTGCAGAGCAACAGGAGGGGCAGAAGGAAATATTATGTTACTTTATGGTTTCTAGAACACATTCATCAAGACACTTTATCTGGCATTGCATGAAAATGACTTTTAATCCAATAATCCCATGAGGTAGAGGTTTATGAGACCTCTGCCTATTCATCAAACTTGTTTGAATAGGCAAACAAGGCCAGATAAAGTGTCTTGTCATCAAGACACTTTACCTGGCATTGCATGAAAAGGACTTTTAATCCGATAATCCCATGAGGTAGAGGTTTATGAGACCTCTGCCTATTCATCAAACTTGTTTTCTTCAGAAACCAGGTATATGGAATCCTATACCTGCCTAAAATGGCTTCATGCAAAGTCCTTGTTTACTGAAAACAAAATATAATACAAATATTTTTGAACCTACTAATTGAGTGATGCAAACAATACTATCTACTACCTGAAACAATATTTTCAATGATATAATAAAATATATATTTTTGCTGTTGAGAAAATGCTATGTCGGCTATAGATTGTTAATCTGAATTGGCATGAAATTAGACATAAATTAGACATAACACAGTTTGGGAAATTAAGATATTAAAAGGCATCCGGCTCATTAGTTAATCTAGAACTACAAAATTATTTCTTATACTACAGTAAAAAGGGCTAAACGATAGGACTGTAATGATTTTTGAGAGCATCACTTAAAAAAAAGAACTCTGTATAACTTGCTACTGTTAACTGATCCATTTCTCATATATACAAATATGCCCCCCAGGCTACCAGCAATACATTCAGGTAAATGTACAAATGTACAATTTAAAACATTGAAATTAGGAACAATTAATTGAGGCACAATTCAGTCGTTTGTCAGAGAAGCTTTAGGCAAAAAAGAAAGAAAAATATTAACTCAAACAATTTCCCATGAGACAAGTATAGATCTGAAAGCAAATGTAATATATATATATTTTTTTACAAACAAAACTTTTCGAGACTGACTGTTGAGCCAAAATTGACGCACCTTTGAAAAGCCGTCAACCCTGAGGCTACCAAGAATGACTCAAGCAAGCTCGTCTGATAACTGCAAGTCTCACATTACCCATGCTAACAAATCATTTTTAAACACCAGTCATCATTGAAAGAACAAAGAAGATCCAGTGAATGTCCCCACATTATTCACAATGTTTATAAATTATTTTATTATTTTTTTTTCAATCTAAGACATTAGCACCTCTCCAAAACTCGCTTCTCTCTGGGGTTTTATGTTCTGCTGTTCTTCATCTTTAATTGTGTTGTCCCTTTTTTAGGAAATGGAAGGCCTGCGCAGTAGCATGCAATCCAGCTCTGTGAACGTTGAGGTTGATGCCAAACCCCAGGAGGACCTGTCCAAGGTCATGGAAGAGATGCGATCTCAGTATGAGAGCGTTGTGGAGAAGAACCGCCGTGAGATGGAAGCCTGGTACAAGGTCAAGGTGGGGAAAGTCGGACAGAACGCGACTAGCTTCGTATTCATTTCATGCTCAAATTTAAGAGAAGGTTTGGAGAGTATTTCGAGTTGTTTTACGTCAATCTTGATATGTTTCAGTTTGACGAGCTCAGCCAGAAGATGGAAAGCAGCACAGAGACTATCGAGGTCTCCCGAAGTGAGATCAGCGACCTGAAGAGGAGGCTTCAGAGTATGCAGATAGAGCTACAGTCCCAGCTTTCAATGGTAATCCACTACACTAGTTGAAGTAACATGAACAATTCAATCATAAATCATTTAACATGTCCGTTACCATGTGTAACTACCTCAGGCTTTATAAGCAATGCCCAAAAAACAAGCAGTTAGCCCTGAGTAAGCACTAAAATAACTTGCTTGTTCTTCTGAGCAGAAAGATAGCTTGGAGGGCGAGCTGCATGAGACAGAGAGCCGCTACAGCCTTAAGCTGCGCCAACATCAAGAAATGGTGAACAGCCTGGAGGCCGAGATCACCAATATGAAGATGGACATCGAGCGACAGGCCTCAGAATACCAAACCCTGCTGGACATTAAAACCAGACTGGAGATGGAGATAGCAGAGTACCGAAGACTGCTGGATGGGGAGGATGTGCAGTAAGAAAAAATTTATCAAAGGCAGTAGAAATGTTTGAAACGGTCTGTAGCATAGGACACAGGTTTAAGCTGTACTTTCACATAATGGTGTAAAGGATTATGTTAGATTAACACGACTCCTGAGTGAAAATAACCGAGCACTTACTTTGCTTTACCATGCAACTGACATAATGTCTGTTTCAGACCGTATGAACAAAAAAACTAACTGTTGTCTTTCTTCCAGGAAAAATATAGTTGTGGAAGTGAAAAAAGAAGTGAAACAAGAAGTAAAAGAAGAACGTAAGTTTGCTGCAAGGCAATGTTTTGCTTAAATTTATATTTACATCTTTTGCAATGTCAAGCTTAACTTTTCCAGTTATGGATGTATGTATAGGACCGCTAAATATTTACTATTTGCCAAATAGCAAAATGGATTTAATATATTTTTTATTTACTTAATTTTTCCATCTCTTTAAATCTTTTTTCCTTTTCTTTTACATATATTTTTGCCATATTTGGTTGCACTGACTTTTAAGTTGTGTAACTTGTGTCGAGACTAAAGTCAGGGGAGATGGAGATCAGCGCTTTGTGATGATCTCTCCAACATTGTTTTGCCATCTGATTTCTTAAGATATTGCAATAATTAATTGCAAAACGATTTAATTTGCCAGCAAACAAAATTTTTCACATTCTTTTAATCAGAAGCTTCACACATCTTTGCATAAATGCAGCACATCTTGAACACCACAGTTCTTAGTTATTCAGATTCATTGTCCAGCAGTGAGGAAACACGTTTGCCTATGTTGCAGTTTAGTAATTTCATAGCTGTATGACAGATATTGCAAGAGATATATGTTATCATCCACGCAAGGTAAAAGTAATAGTTTTTTTTATTATCAATGTCTTCCACAGATAAACCGGTCATTACCAAGAGGACAAAAGTGGTGATTGAAGAGCTTGTGGACGGAAAAGTGGTGTCACGTACAGAAGACGTAGACACCGCAGTCATCTCCAAGTAAAACTGAGCCAAAAAAAACAATCAAGAAGCAGTGTCTTTTGTATTTAAGTCTCCGAAAAACACAGAAAGTATAAATATTTACCTTCCAGAGCTTTGTGTAGTTTAGATGTTTCGATTTTTTTTGTCACATTATTTATTCTGACTTAAAGACTGGAAGACTTTAAAGCTAGAATTGCTTTGAAAATTCTGTGCTTAGAAAGCCAGAACACATAAGCAGTAACACTATAAGCTACATCAGAAAAAAAAAAAAAATCCTATTCCAGGTGTAGCACCTGAAGGAATAAAGTCAATCCTATAATGTTAAAAACAAACAAGTGCAAAAGATTTTAGCTAGATTTAGGAAAACGAATATTCGATCCCCTTCTGTGTTGTTGTTGGCTTATAAGATGCTGTCACTTTGAGTGTGAAAGGTCATGAAAAAATGTATTTCTTATTTCTAATATTTAAAAATGTTAAAGGTGCTGCATATGGCATATTGTACACTCTCAAGTGACATATTGCTAAAGCAACTGGTATCACTGTTTTAAAGGGAACCACTGTCCAGATTCCTGCTGGGGTTCAAGTGTTTCTGATCAACTCTCACTCCCTCTGAGAGTTGTATCTGTTTTTTTTTTTTTTTTTTATTCTGAAAAGTTGTGTGTGTCTTTATCTTGTTTAATTTCCATTTCTAATGACAATAAAGAAGATTGGCAGAAAACATTATTGTGTTCTCAGTAATTTTTCTATTGCAAACACACACGGTGAGATGAATAAATAATAAATGAAGCAATTTTGTTTACATGACAATAAGATACAGGTTGAAGGAAAGTCACAGAGAGTTTAGCTGCCCTGATCATTGAGCCAAAAGAACAATTAATATCTTCTACCAAATGACAGGAGAATAAACAGACCAAGTAATAGATAACAAATAACAGGTGGACAAATGAAAACCATTAACCTGTGACCACAAAAGCATCAGGTGTAATAAATTAAAAACCAAGGGGTGTATTCAGGAATGATGAATAAAATGTAGGTGAACTATGTAGATACAGGAAAGGAGAGGGTAATGTAAAAGTAAGGATTATTACACGGTACTGCGACCACTACTGAAATGTCACAAGACAAGAACTCCAGCTCTCACCGACTAAAGAAGAAATGATAAGATTGATCAAACGTTAAGACAGTATAAAGTTAAACCATGGGGAAAATCAGGCAGCAGTCAACAAGTGTCTTAATGATACAAACAGAAACCTTTTTTTAGTCTATTTGGGCTTTTGTATATTTAAGTTAGTACATTTTGCCCTGTCTGTCAGACATTCTCATCTAAGAATTTTCATGTCAGTATTCTATTAAAAAGGTATTTTTCCTTTCATTCAACTGGAGTGGCACACTCCAGTTGAATGTTTAATGTTATTTGAATGTTGAATGTCATTTAACTGAATAATATTTGATCATTTAAAGAAAAAAAAAGTAGGCAAAGTAATTAACATATGAGAAACAGAGATTTGACATAAAGTCAAGTACTACTCTCTTTACTAAGTTCTCAGTTTTGGTCCTTTTATTTTACTTTTTTATTTTATTTATTTATTTATTTTTTACCTCTGATCTGATAATTAAAGTTAGCAAACATTTACCAAAAGAAAGTTTGGAAATGCCTTTTCATATGAGATTTTTTATTTTATTTTAAAAGTTTATGATTCTTGTCAAGAGATTTGCTTAATCTTTAATCAACTTTCTGAGTATCTCTCCCTTGTTGCTACTTTAATCCACAATATGCACTGTTTTAAAATGTCCACTAGATGTCAGTATATTCACGATCATTTTTATTATGTATTTTCACTCATTCTTTTTTTCATAAATTTCTAAAATGAAATAGTTTAATTTTGTTACATAATTTTTTTTACAACATTTGGCTTATTAAAAAGGCATGTTGCTGAAGCAATTTTTTAAATTGTTTCATTATTTATTTTTTTTCAATCAAAGCTTTCTTGTAATTGTACTAGAACGTGCATGCATCCTACAGGTAAAACAAAAATGTTTTACTTTTGAAAATTAGAGATGGAAATGTTACATAATATTCCATTTCCTTCACATACGTGTCTCTGGTTCTTATCTTTGAAGGTTGTGTTGCTATTTTCATCAACTCTTTTCTAAATAAATACATAACCATTTCAGAAGTAATAGCTATAGTCATATAAATTCTTAATAATTTAACAAAGTTTAGTTCAGTGTATTTTATGTTGATTATGTTTAGATGGACTTAAATGTAATTTGCTTATAATTGAGTGGGTGTCTTTTGTTGGCAGTAGGTCTAACAAAAATCTTCAGATTATTATTCTTAAAGAGAAAGAAAGAAAGAGACAGATAGGGCAGGGGGAGATAAATTATCTGTGTTGCAATAAATTTGTAGAAGAGTAAAAACAACAAAAAAAACACGTTCTTTCTTTGTAAAAAATAAAATAAAAAATAAAATATCTTAGATATGAATAGCATAAATTTGTCCATTTTTATTGTCTTTTATATTCCGTCAATTTTCTCCAGATATTGCAGATAACTGAACGATTACAAGCAAAACTATGATTTATCTACATATAAAGCACTGATTTTATTCCACATGTTTTATGTTAAATGTAGGCCCCTTATGTTAAAAGTATCTTTGTAGATCGTTATCATTACGTTTTGGAAGGTTAGTAATCTTACATATCTTTCAACTTGTATGCGCAAGCATAACCGGAAATATATGGTTTTAGAGTAGACGACTGACATTCTGAATGGCTGAAATCCGAATTATGAGTGTCTCTCCGTTAAGAAGATCCTGCCTCACTATTTTAGTGTAAATCGGGTTGCCATAGACCTCTAGGGACGTCTCCACGAAGCACGCCTCTGTAGCACGAATCTGTCATTTGGAGCTTTTTGTTCCCCAGTCACGACCTAAATGATGACAAAATCCTGCACCACGGGAAGCTGACGCCACCGCGGTACAGTCACCTCCTCGGTGACGTCGGCTGACGGAGGCAGCAGCAGCAGCAGCAGCAGTCAGGTTTGATGCCATCTGCTGGACGGTGGCAGCCACGCTCTCGGCATTACGTCATCCGGGAGAAACCGGTGCCAGGTCCAGATCGGTGAAGCCCGGGAGTCTGGTTGTGAATGTAAAGCAGCGTGGAAAGAGGCAACTATGAGGATGAATTTAAGACAGGACAGGAGGGGTGTGAAACTAAATCGTATGAGTGGAAGTTCTAATTTAACACACGTATTAGACTAATACATGAAGGCCACAATAGAATAGAATAGAATAGAATAGAATAGAATAGAATAGAATAGAGCAGATTTAATAAGACAATAGCCATTTTTGATCCAAGTCACTTTGGATGATACAAAATATATGGTGTTGCAAAACGTTTTGGGTCTGTGAATTATTCACACTTTTTCTTACATATTATACTGGGATTTTATCTTGTAGCTCAACTAGTATATAACTGTGAAAAGGTAAATCAGTGTTAATACGTAAAAAGATGATTGATTTATTTGTATTCCTCCTCACCATTTAAATACAGAGCTAACAGAGCATTATTATTTTATATATATATATTTTGCTTAAGTGAGAGTAGCAATACTTTATAGCAGTGTTATTCAAGTAAAGTAAATGGCACATTGAAATAAAACTAATCTTAAAGCTAAGTTTTCGCCAAAAGGTCACTTAAGTAATTGTAACTGAATAAATGCACACCTATAAATATCAATCGTCGAGGTTTGCCTCATATTCTCAATTAGGCTTAAATGTAGACTTTGACTGGGCCATGCTGACACGTTAACATGCTTTGATCTAAACCTGTCAATTGTAGCTTGTTAATGATCTCTGCCCTGTCCTGCCGCAGTCCCAGGTCTTTTGGATTCAAGATGACTGTCTTGTATTACACTGTTTAGCTTGATCCAGCTTTCCATAAACTCTGAACAGATGCCATGTCAGTGTTGAAGAACAAGCACTAATGTTGCCACCGCCACGTTAGGTGCAGCATGCGTTTTCAGCCTTGCACAGCCATATTGGTTAGAAAAATGTTTCACAAATAAAACTATGAAAATGTTGAATTTCCCAGGTTTACATTTGCATTTAGTTCTCTTTCACTTAAGTAGCCCAAAAACAACATTCAATGCAGTGCCATCAGAAGCTGCCTAATTAAAAACTATAGGACCCTTCAGTGTGATTTAATTCTAGTATAAAGACAGCTGTTTATTAAAAGCCTCACAGATTTCATTAAAAAAAAAGCATAATTAAGAAAACAGAACATTCATTTCTGCTCTCTAACTCAACGGACAGGCTCACTTGAAAAAAAAAAACATTTATGATTGACATCGTTCAAATTCAACAGCAAAAAGTTGTTTGGTTTACACAAAAGCATGACATTTTAGAAAATAAATCCATATTTAAAACTTTGCAGAGAAGTGAACGTCAGTTGAACTGCTGTCCATGGTGCTGAAACTCTTCTGCACTTGATATTTTAAACTGACTGTATTCATTTTTTTTTTTAATTGAGCCAATAAAGCGGTACAAAGTATCGCGAGAGGAGGAAAGAAATGTTAGATTTATACACGATTTGCGTATTCATATGGAGTGGGACTGCTTTTAAATAAAAACGCCGGGATGTGGCGTGTACAAGCTTTCAGATCATGACAGTGACGAGCCAGTCCTCACATGATTAGACGCTCCTCTGCAAAAAAAAAAAAAAAAAAAAAAAACACCAGAGAGGGAGGAAGGAGGGCTCCATTCCCAGGGAGGCAGCGGAGAGGCACCGAGGACTCCGCCTTCACCGCCCCAACGTCCAAGCATCAGTCCGGGGTGGGGAAGAGGGAAGAGACACGCCGCAGGCCTGACGAAGAGATTCGAAACGCGAGCGTGAGGAGAGACTAAAAAAGAAAGAAAAAGAAAAGAAAAAGAAATACGGAGATGGGCTCGCCGTGAAGGAGTAAAGACCGGGGAGGTGGGGGGAAACACCCAGAGGGGGCGCAACACAAAAGCACAACTAGAGGTGCCTGCAACCATGAGCGGCTGCTCGCCTAAGCCGCGGCTGCCGCTGCTACTCCGCCCGGGGAACACGTCGTGAGGTGCGCCTCGGGAACCTGTTAGCCGAAACGACACGCCGAGGAGAACCAGGAGGAGGTGGTGGTGGAGGTGGGGTGGTGGTGGTGGTCGAAAAGATGTCCGCCTCGGTGGGGCCCCAGGGCGGCCCTCGCCCACCCACCGTGCCGCCGTCCATGCCGGATCTGCCGGACCTTAGCCACCTCACCGAGGAGGAGCGCAAGATCATCATGGACGTGATGGCTCGGCAGAAGAAAGAGGAAGAGAAAGAACAAGAGATGCTGAAGTAAGGCCAACACTTAAAAAAAACTGTTTCTCAAGTCATAAGGCATAGCTTAAGAAAAAAAAAAATAGAGGTTAGAGGTAATCTCATACAACCTCATACATTTTTTGCGCCTCTACAGCCGTAATAAAGATGCGAGACGCGAAACTATCATGAGATTTACAGCTTTTTCTTCCCCAAATCAAATCAATAAGCGGCCACGGTGGGTGACGATGGCCTGAAACAGGGTCAGGATCCTTTACAGGTGCTGGTCCGAGGATGGGGTGTGACAGAGGGGGAAGGAGATGGAAGGATGAATCATAGCCTCGTATATATTTCACCCATTCATTTTCATCAATGGAGGACTGCACCCCAACCCTCAGTTTT